TGTATTTATTTTATCTTACACATTTAAATCTGCAATATATTAGGAACTGATTTTGTGAATACTATGAGGTAGGGGTCAAGATTATTTTTTTCTCATATGCATATATAATCGACCCAGCACCACTTATTAAAAAAGGCCAACCTTTTTCACTGTACCTGGTCATCTTTTAATGGGATAAAAGGAAATGTTGTTAGAAATGATTAAGTGATAGAAAATGAGTTCTTAAACATTTAGAACTCATTCTATTTTTTTTTTTTTTTCTAGGTTAAGGACGAAGCTAAATGTCAGAATCCAGAATTTGAGAGAAATATGGAGGTTGGTAAATTCAACATTAGCTATTTGGGCTTAGACTTAGAGCAGTTGGGGGTGGAGCATAGTATAAATCTGAGCTGCTTTGAGAAAAACAAACTGCTTTGTTCTGTGAGTTATTGCCAATTTTTTTCAAGAGTCAAAGATAATTGAAATTGCAGTCCAAGTCTTAATCATAGGCAGAATTTAGCAGATAATTATATTATGATTCAACAGCAATGAAAAAAGAATAAACGTAATGTTCCTTGTATATTTTTTATTTTATACCTAAGAATACATCTTGCTTCATGGTCCCTGGTGTTCTTCCTGATACTTTGAATGTAGTCAGAATAAGAGTCAAAACAAATGAATTTTGCTATGAGGATGACAAACTCTGGAGTAATTGGAGCCAAGAAATGACCATAGGTAAGAGAACAGAATTTTTATTAAATTTAAAACATTGATGCTTTAAAACCTAAGCTGAAGCAGAAAATAGACTGGGGAAAGGGACTGTCATGCTCTCTTGATGTCAGGAAAAGAGTACTTACAATTGAAATTTATTTTCTTTGTAATCACTTCCAAATCATACAGAGTTAATTTACAGTATAAAGTTCTTTAGGAAACTGTAATCCAAATGGTTTTATCTTCTGTGTCTCATTTCCATTTTATTAACAAACTGAACAAAAAATATAGAAAGCAGGCATAGGCTGGACACAGTGACTCACGCCTGTAATCCCAGCACTTTGAGAGACTAAAGCAGGAGGATTGCTTGAGCCCAAGAGTTCGAGACTAACCTGAGCAACATGGTGAAACCCCATCCCTACAAAAAATACAAAAATCAACCGGGTGTGGTAGTTCACACTTGTGGTCTGGACTACCCAAGAGGCTGACATGGGAAGATCACTTGAGCCTGGGAGGTGGAGGTTGCAGTGAGCCAAGATTGTGCCACTGCCCTCCAGCCTGGGTGACAGAGTGAGACCCTGTCTCAAGAAAAAAAAAAAGAAGGCAGGCATAATCAAATTTGCACATTGTATAGTATTAGAGACTGTCCTACATGCTGGTTGGCAGAAACAAGAGTGGAGCCATTTAATAGACAGAAACCTGTATCTAAGTTTGAAAAACTCATTTATTAATTAAAAGGCTGAGCAAGCCAGGCTCAAGTACAGGACTGGAAAGACCTGTGCTTTATGGATGTGTGTGTGGTGGGGTGGGATACGGGGCTTTATTTGACTATAAGTGCAATGTGACTCAACATTGAAATCTTAAATGTGTCAAAAAGGCATATACAGTCTTAGACAGGAATGATGAGTGCAGCACCCAGAAGGGAATATTGAACGTTTGACACAGAGCTGTGGCCACATCAGAATTGTGCAGTATTCCATTCTGAGCACCACATTAAAGGAGTTACATTGGCAGACTGCAGTCTATCCTTGAAAGGGTAATCAGGATGTTGAAGAATCTCAAAACTTGGCAAGGAACAATTGGTAAAGTAACCTTGAGGAGTCATGATTGCTGATTTCTAACATTTGAGGTATTGTTAGGTACAAGAAGGAATAGGCTTTCCTTTTTGTTTCTCCAAGGGACAACACAGAACCAACTTAAGAACTTTTTAAACAGCTGTCTAAGTCAAACAGGTTGTTGAGGTAGTCAATTCCCTATTAATTGGGAAGTTCAACAAGTTATGTGCCAGGCATGGTTGCATTCATTTATTTATTGTTGCATAACAAATTACTCCAAAGTTTAATGGCTTAAACCAACATACATTTACCATCTCACAGTTTCTGTGGGTCAGGACTCTAACCACAGCTTAGCTGGAGGTCTCATGAGGTTGCAGTCAAGCTGCAATGAGAACTGAAATCTGTTTGAAGGCTTGATTGGGGACAGAGAATCCACTTCCAAGTTCACTCTTGTAGTTGTTGGAAAGCCTCATTACCTCACTGGTTGATGGAGGCTATAGCAGGTTGAATTGTATCTCACAAAAAGATATGTTCATAGGTGCCAACTCCTGGTACCTGTAAATGTAACCTTATTTGGAAATAGGATTTTTGCAGATATAATCAAGTGAGGATGAGGCCATGCTGGATTAAAGTAAATTCCTAATCTAATGACTAGTATCCTTATAAAAAAGAAAAGTCACACAGAGCACAGAGACACACAGATACACAGGGAAGAAAGCCATGTGATGATGGAGGCAGAGACTGCAGGAATGCAGCTACAACCAAGGAACACCAATGATTCCTAGGAGCTACCAGAAGCTAGGGAAGAAGCAAGGAGGGATTCTTCTCTAGAGCCCTCAGAGGGAGCATAGCCCTGCTGACACATTCACTTTGGACTTCTAGCCTCCAAAACTCTAAGATGATACATTTCTGTTGTTTAAAGCCATCTAGTTTGTGTTAATTTGTGAGACAGCCCTAGGAAATGAATACAGAGGCTTCCTTTAGTTCCTTGCCACTTGGACCTCCCCACAGGGCTACTTCCTGATATGGAAACCAGCTTTCCCAAGTGAGTAATCCAAGCAAGAAATAGAGTGTGAGAGAACACTCAATATGGGAAACATGGTCTTTTATAACCTAACCTTAGAAATGACATCTCATTACTGCTGCTGTTCTATTATTTAGAAGTGAGTCAATTAGTATATAGCCCATGCTCAAGGAGAGGGGATTGCACCAGGGTATGAATATCAGGAGTCAGGAATCATGTGGAGTAATCTTAGTGACTGCCTAAAACAATGGTGCCAGGCCTTGATGATGCTTTCTAGATGTTCATGACTTAGTGGGAAAAATGAATGTGTATATAGGCAAGTGATAGTCTATGTGTTAGATATAGCAAGGCAGGCTTTGAAACTGGACAATGGAACTGGAATTTGAGTCCTGATGCCATTATTTACTAAATCCTTCTGGATTACTTACTAAAGGTCTCTGAGCTTTATCTTTTTCATCTGCTTAAATGGGAGATAATGCTGTCATTATAGCATATATATGAGATAAGCATGCAAAACCATGTTACATATCAGACATATAGTAGGTGCTTACTTAAGAATAATAGTTGTTAGGATTATTTTAGGTATTTTAGTAGTGATAAGTAACCAGTAAGAAAATGTAGTCACTGTTAATGAGATGACATATTTAATATAGCATCGTTGTTAATAGTGTCTAAAACTAGTTAACATCTCCTGATTTACCTGAGCTGGCGGGAAAAACCAGCCCCATGAGCATCCTCTGGGCTGGCCCAGTACACAGGGGGAGGCGCTCCATGGCTGGTCTTCCCTCTGTCAGCCCATGCGGCCGCCATGACCTGGAGCACCACCACCTGGGGCGCCCACCAGCTCAACAGCACCACATTCACGTGGCAGCTCTTCCCCACCTGGCAACCACTGCTGTTGGCCAGCATCACGCTACAGCTCTTCTTCTATGTGGGCCTGGCCTTCATCGGTCTGGACCTCTATTACTCCTCCAGCAGCATCAAGGAGCTGGAGTACGACTACACTGGCGACCTGAGCACCAGGAACTGCTCCGTGTGTGCCACGGCCTGCCAGGGCTGCGCACCACTGCCTATCTGCTCATGTGCTTGGTACTTCTCACTGTCTGAGCTCTTCCAGGGCCCCATGTACCCCTACTACGTGCTGAACAACTTCTACCAGAACAACAGGTGGTACGGAGTATGCTGCCATGATGCACAGCTGAGCGGGCTGCCCAGCACGCTGCACCACCCGGTCAACGGGCACATCCCCTAGGCCACCTGCCCATCGCGCAACCTGCAGTGCCATCACCAACAGCCTTTTCAATGACTCCTTCTCGCTGTGGTACCAGCGCCAGCCCTGCGGGCCCTATGTGGAGATGCCGCGCTACTGCACTGCACCAGAGCTACCACACTGCACCAGCATCGCCCAGTAGACTGACTACCCCCTCAAGTTCCACAACCCACTGCTGGTCAACTGCAGCCTGGTACTGGCCTCGCATGGCACGGCACCCCCGCTCAACTGGTGCTGGCCGGTCTACGATAAGTTCAGCCCCATCCCCAACAACACCGGCTTCATCAACCAGGACTTCATGGTGTGGATGCTCATGACAGCGCTGCCCACATTCTGTGAGCTGTATGTGCACATCTGTTAGGGCAGCTACTCGACCTCGGGGTGCCTACGGCATCAACAATGCCTACAACTATCCTGTGTGTGCATTCGGCAGCCACAAGCTCCGCATCTTCAGCAGCATCTTGTGGATGGGTGGCAAGAATTCCTTCCTGGGCATCGCCTACCTGGTCGTCAGCTTCTTCTGCATCCTTACCGGCTTTAGCATGCTGGTCATCTACATTCACTACCAGGACCAGAAAGATGATGACGATGAGGAGGAGGGGTGATTCCAGCTTTCCTACGACCCTTCCTGCTGCTTGCTAAAATTCTAACGAGCTTCTTTCAGCCTCTCCCCCTTGCCCCTCATCCTATTCTAGTCTCTCCTGGCTTTTCCTCCCTTTGTGAAGGAGGGGGCCAGAGAAGGGAATAACACCCTCGCTCTTGGGGGCTGCTAGAGTCTCTTGCCTGGTGGTGGAGGGTTGACTGCAGAGTGAAACATTCTTGCAAACTCTCCCCACCTCCTCCGTGATACTGACTTGCCATGTTAGGTTCTTCAAGTCTGAGAGTGGAAGGGATCCCTGTAGAGACTCATTTTCAACCCCTATCAGAGGAAGAGATTGAGAGACCTAGCAATGTGAAATAACTCAGTCAAGATCAGGCAGCTGGCAAGTGGTTCCTGACGCTGAGGCTAGAGCTTTTGCCACTACAGTACAGTGGTTTTCTTTTCTTTGTGGGGAGGGTGGGTTGGGATGGAGAGTGAGGCCCACAAATTACCCAAAGAGGCATGGAGGGGTGTGGGAGAGCATATTTGTTAAATATGCAGGTAGATTAGGAGGCATCAACCCCAGAGATTCTGACACAGTAATGCTGAGGTGAGATGCTTGAACCTGTTTTAACAAACTCCTCTGGAGATCTCCATATTCCCTCAAATTTGGAAATCACTGCCCTGAACCAGGTTGGACCTGAACCAGTCACCTGAGTCCAGTTTTTCAGGTAGTAATTTGTTCCCAGAGACAGTGACACCATAATGTTGCAGGTTTGGTCTGGCACGCTACCTTAAATATAGTCAGCTATTAATGACTTGTGGAATTTTTTTAAATCATTATCTCTGAGCTGGGCACGGTGGCTTATGCCTGTAATCCCAGCTCCCCGGGAGGCTGAGGCAGAAGAATCAATTGAACCCAGGAAGTGAAAGGGGCAGTGAGCTGAGATGGTGCCACTGTACTACACCCAGCCTGGGTGACAGAGTAAGACTGTCCCCCCAAAATAAAATATAATAAATAAAATAAAATTTAAAAATCACCATCTCTGGAAAACTAATTGGCGTACAGATTTGTAGGACAGGGTTTGTGTCAATTCTTTTTATATTTTCATATAAAAGCAAACAGGCAAACTTTACCAGGTACTGTGTAGAAACGTGAAAATGTGAGGCCAGTTTGTACAGTTCAGAGGGAATGCTTTGACTGTAGAATCAGATAGCTGGAAGGGATCTTTGAGGGAAAGTAATTTCCCTAAAGTAACATCTATGTCTCCTGGCCCAGTCTTCTTTGTCATTTAATTTGTGTGTGTGTGCATGCATGTGTGTGCACACTTACAAAGGGCTTCATTCATACCTTTTCTCTTGGATCTGGAAAATTGTTTTTTTATGTTTGACAATGAGATATGTTTGTTTGTAGTAATCATATTTGAATCAGTACTAAGGCATATATAGTCTTATATGTAAACTAGAATCTTAAGATTATTTGAATCTTTGAGATAATGTTAAAAGTCTTAGCTAAAATCATTCCATTGATTTTATTGATTGACTAACATTAATCAATATGTTTAAAGTTATTCTAAGAAGCAACAGTTTTACTTAAGAAACCTTTCTTTCATGGCAAAATAGCTTAAAAGAACTTAAAAAAAAAACACTTTGTGATATGTTACCAGTTTATATGCTAAAAGCAGTTATTTGCTATCTGTCATACAGAATTTCTCAGTGCCTGCTGTCTGTTTACTACTCATTCGTTGCTACTTATTCGTTTAAAGCACTGTAAAATCTTGAAGTGTTTTTTAATCAGTTAAGAAATATTGTATTGAATAGTTCACATTCTAGTTTTTTGAATATAGTTACTGAACAATGAACAATGTGCATGTCGCTGACATCTGTCTCAGAGCTTCTGGGACAATCATGATTTGAGAGATTCTATCCATTGTTACATATACCAAAATAATTCCAATGTGTTGGCTTCCCAGCTTCTGAACATGACACAATTTTATTATCAGAGTTTGTATGGTGATTTTAGGCTATGAAAACATGATTATTATGTGTACATAGAGTAATTTTTATTTGTTATGAATGTTTGAACAGCTCACTAGCCCAGCCTTCCTCTATTTTGAATAAGAGAGTTTACTACATCTTTTTACTATGTAGTTGAGAATAACATGTATTTTGTCATTTTTAGAATGGTCAGTTTATTTCTATAAAATTTTAAATGAGGTTCGGCCCACTGGCTCATGCCTGTAATCCCAGCACTTTGGGAGGCCAAGGTGGGCAGATCACTTGAGGTCAGAGCTTGAGACCAGCTGGCCAACATGGTGAAACTCCATCTCTGCTAAAAATACAAAAATTAGCCGGGTGTGGTGGTGTGCACCTGTAGCCCCAGCTACCCAAGAATCTGAAGCAGGAGAATCACTTGAATCCTGGAGGCGGAGGTTTCAGTGAGCCGAGATCATGCTATTGCACTCCAGCCTGGGTGACAGAGTGAGACTCTGTCTCAAAAAAAAAGGTTAAATGAGACCATGAAAGTTAAGGGACTCTGATTCTGATTAAATTAATGAATATGGTTCCTGGCCCTATTCTCTGGGTTTTCGAAGGAGAATAAAGCTTATGTTTGTCTTTTAAAAAATGTCCTGATTTCAGGTGATCTTTAAGGTGTTTGCTCACCCAGGGAAGTTCAGGTACCAGAGGAGGACTTTTTGTTTTTTTTTAACTGTTAAGATAACAGAAGATAATTGAAGAGTTTTGGAAAATAGGTTAGGGGAGGGAGCAGAAATATTTGTGATCTTACTAGCTAACAGAATTGCTGCTAGGTCTATTACTAAAAGCATTTTGTTTCTCAAGTCTTTCTGTTTGCCTTTCATTCTCCAGGTAAGAAGCGCAATTCCACCCTCTACATAACCATGTTACTCATCGTTCCAGTCATCGTTGCAGGTGCAATCATAGTACTGCTGGTTTACCTAAAGAGGTAAGGTAGCTGCCCAGGCAGGCTTTATAGTTACTGCTAGCCTGTTTGCTATGGTTATTACTGTTAGTGCTTGTGTTTTATGTTTGCTCAGTGTATTAGAAGCATGTTGACTTTAAGTGGCTTTTGGGAGTATGACATGACAAGGAAGTATTACTATGCCCACTTTCTTTCTTTCTTTCTTTTTTTTCCTGAGACAGAGTTTCACTCTGTCACTCAGACTGGAGTGCAGTGGCATCGTCTCAGTTCACTGCAGCCTCTGCCTCCTGGGTTCAAGTAATTCCTGTGCCTCAGCCTCCTGAGTAGCTGGGGTTACAGGTGCCCACCACCACACCTGGCTAATCTTTTGTATTTTTAGTAGACGGAGTTTCACCATGTTGGCCAGGCTGGTCTCAAACTCCTGTCCTCAAGTGATCCACCCGTCTTGGCCTCCCAAAGTTCTGGGATTACAGGCATGAGCCACTTCGCCTGGCCACCATGCCCACTTTCTAATGAAAAACATGTTGAATTTGTTTTCCAGGGCTCCCTGCTGAAGCACTGTTCCCTTTACATGTGTTTAGGATTGTTGAATAGGCCCTAGGTTCACTTTACTCTTTGAAAATCCTAATCTATCAAGTTAGTCATTAGTTGTTGAAAGAAGTTTTAGAAATGGAAACAATTACTAATAAAAATGACTGTCTGGGCTGGGTGCAGTGGCTCATGGCTGTAATCCCAGCATTTTAGGAGGCCAAGGCAGGTGGATCAAGAGATTGAGACCATCCTAGCCAACATGATGAAACCTTGTTTCTACTAAAAATACAAAAATTAACTGGGTATGGTGGCATGCACCTGTAGTCCCAGCTACTCAGAAGGCTGAGGCAGGAGAATCGCTTGACCTGGGAGTTAGAGGTTGCAGTGAGCCGAGATCATGCCATTGCATTCCAGCCTGGCAACAGAGCAAGACTCTGTCTCAGAAAAAAAAAAAAGACTTGTCTGGTATTAATGCAAAGCAGTCTACTACTTAATATTGTGGGAAAGAGAACTTCACCAAGTTGTCATGAATGGATAGTAGTCATTCGTTGAGAATATTTTATTTTCTCTGTTTCCATATAGGGACTGTTATTTGCTCTTGCAGTAAATAACTAAGGTTGGAATAACGTTATTAAGCTGAATCTAGAACCAATATGTTATCACTATTTTAACATTTATTTTATATATATTGAACATTATTATATATATATAGTGCCTATTTGTGAAGCAGGCACTGTTCTAAGGTGCTAAAGTTACAGCAGTGAACAGGACAAAGTCCCCATCTACATTCTAGAGGGAAAGATACACAACATGCACACACACCCACACACACAAAATAAATAATAAATACTATGATTTCACATAGTGAGAAATCTAATTGGCAGTAGCAGGGTGTGGCTAGGAAGTGATAGGAGGTTCATTTTACATGGGATGGCCAGAGGACTCCTCTCTGGGAAAGTGACATTTCAGGAGAGACTCCCAATAAAGTAAAGAAGTGAGTCATTCAAATATTTGAGGAAAGAGCATTCTAGGCCAAGGGAACAGCAAATACAAAGGCCCCAAAGCTGAAATACACTTGGTTTGTTTGGCTGGAGTGGAGAGTGCAAGGTGGAAAGCGGCAGCAGGTGAGGACAGAGAGGTTGACCAACCAGATCATGCAGGGCATGGCAAGGACCTGAGATTTTATTCTAAGCATGATGAGGAGCATTGAGAGTTCTGAGCAGAGTAGGTACATGATCTGAGTTACTGTCATAAAAGACCATTGTAGTTGCTGAGTTAAGAACTGACTTGGGCAAAAGTGGAGGCAGATGAACTAGTTTGGAGGCATTGCAGTGTTTTGGCAGAAAGATGAGGATAACCTGCACTGGGGGTTAGCAATGGAGATAGCAAGAAGTGGTGAGAAATAGTATATGTTTTGAGAGTAGAATTTGTAAGACTTGCTGATAGCTGTCTGTCTGTGGAGGTGTAAGGGTAATTGAGGATTCAAAGATAACTCTTAGATTTTTGGCTTGAGCAACTGAGTGAATACTGCTGCTATTTACTGGGACAGAGAAGACTGTGAGGAAAGCTGGGTTTGAGGGAAAGATAAGGACTTCAGTTTTGCATATGTTAAGTTTGATATGCTCATTTGATATCCAAATAAAGATGTGAAATAAGTGATTGAGTGCATGAATCTGGAGTTGAAGAGAGAGGTCTGGGCTGGAGATCTAATTTTGGGAATCCTCCGCATGTGAATGGATTTAAAGCCCTAAGACTGAAGGGAATGTTCATAAAGTGAGTGAGTGAGACAAGAAGACAAAAGACAATCCTGGGGCACATCCATGGACACACCCTGGGAGATGGAGGCAAGCCCACCAAAGGATGCTGTAAGATTGAAAAATGGAGATATATAAGAAGAAAAAGAAAAAGAGGAACGTATTATGTTCTCAGAAGATTTTTTTTTTTCAAAATTATACACAACAAGCGCCCATCTGGTCTATTAAAAGTAGAGCAGCATTATCATTTAGATGATAGGGTGTAAGTGATTCACTTATCCTGATGGTCCCTGTGCTCCACCTATGGGCAAGAATGGAACTGAATGCCTTAGAATATTGATTTTCGTGTACACCATTTTAGAAATTTCTTTACAACTGCCTTGTCAATAAAGATGACTTGTATACCATGTCTTTTGTCCATGCCCTCTTTTAATATTTATTAAATATTAAATAATATGGTATTTATGTGGGACACTCCTTTGGACTGGAAGGTTTGAATCAAAATATCTCTGTTTTCTTAAGGCTCAAGATCATTATATTCCCTCCAATTCCTGATCCTGGCAAGATTTTTAAAGAAATGTTTGGAGACCAGAATGATGATACTCTGGTAAGAACAGATTTTGTGGGGCTTGAAATTGTTTTTTTTTTTTTTTTTGAAAGCTATGAGATTTTTAAAAATTGTGGTAAAGTAT